CTTAACATCCAGTGAAATGCCAGACTTTGAAAAATGTCTTTAGCATTTCACATCGCCACAGGCAGTGTGGACATTTCAGTTTCTCAGCATCCCAGTTAGTATTTGTTTTGTCTCCTTTGGCTTTTGCCATCATTTTGATGGGAGGAGTTTATTTTTAGACTATAGCTTTGAATGTTTAACAAAAAAAATGCACTGTAAATGTGGGTTTTCCCTGACTTTCGTGCATTCACAACTGGTCGCGTATCTTGGAAATACAGAGGGCCTGTAGTCCTGTCCATGGCTATCACACCCGGTCTGAAGCAGGTTTGCTTCAGCAGCTCCTCTGCACCATCTCCTCAAAGGGCAGACCAGTGCATGTATCTGAGACCCTAATTATCAGAGGTTTTTACTACTAAGATTGCAAATGCACTTGCTTTGGGCATTCTGGCATGGTAATAGGTCTGGCTTTCTCCCTCTTAGCTCCCTGCTCACAAGGTTTATTTCTCAAGGTATCCACTTTAACCATTCCTCACAGATACTGTGTGGAAGAACTTTCCATTTCCTTTTCCAACTACAGTAGCTTTCTTGGGGATATGTTTGTGGATATCCTACTTTAAAACTTGGACCTTGAACTAAGCATGTTGATAGAATCAGTTTACTGCTTTTATAGGGCTAAAATGTCTACAACCTAGCACCATCAAACTCATTATGTCCTTATTGCCACACTCATCACTTCAAGCCCTTGTTTTGTTAATTCTCTCTTGAACTGGTAATACAGCCCAGTGAAATTAGAAATAATATGCCGTATTTGATGAGTGTCCTTCCCACTCTTCTTACCAGGCACCAACTCATCAGAGGCAACCTGTGTTAACAGTTTCTAGCGCAAGTGAGTTGTGCAGTCATCAGCATATCCACTTTAGAATATTTCGATCTGGGAAGCTGCCTTGTTTTTGTTTACAGTTACTCCCAGCTTTGGGAAACCTTATCTTGCCCATTCTGCACAGTTCATATAGAGTCACTGATGATGCAGCCTTTTGTATCTGGCTTGCTTGCTTTTGTGTGATGTTTTCAAAGTTTATCCATGTGCTGTGTTGTCAGTAATTCCTCCTATTGTGGAGTAGTAGTTGGTTATGTGGGGTTTTACCACATTGTGTCTATTAGTGGACATTTAGAATGTTTAGATTGTTTTTTAATTATCAGAATATGACTATGAACATTTATTTAAAGTTTTATGTAAGCATTTTCATTTCCTTTAGGTGTGAAACGGCTTATAAATTTTTAATGTTTTAAGAAACTTTTTTCAAAATGCCCACGTGCAGTGTATTGAGCATTCCAGTTCTTCCACATCTTACCAAAACTTGTCATTATGTTTTTGGTATGACCATCCTAAATGATATGAAGGCACTTCATGATGCTTTTAATCTGGACTTCACAGATGACTGGATAGTAAAGATCTTTTTGTGTGCTTGTCTTTGGTGGGAAGGATACTCAGATATTTTGCCCATTTTAAAGCTAGGTCTGTCTTCCTGTTCAGCTCAGATGAGTTTTACGTATTTGGGTCTCGGCCTTTTGGGTAAGACCAAGTGTGGTATCTGGTCTCACTAGCTCTATATTTTTGGCACCAGTCTTACCAGGTGTATAACTTGAGGATAAGTTCTGTTCCTGCACTCAGTTTATTTTAGAAGTGAAATTTAATGTTCAAATGGTGAATAATGCAGTTTGGTTTAACATTGTTTTCCCCTTGTGAATTGTGCTGTTGGTATTAGATCCAAGTTGATTTTTTTTTTCCTGGTCAAAGTAACAAAGGTTTTCTCTTATGTTTTCATTTTAAAACTTAAATAGGCATGTCCCACCTGTAGTCCCCATGCATCTCAGGATAGCTAGTGTGCTATTCATAGATGGCAACGTCATATAGCGATCTCAGAAAGCTTGGACATACCTGTTGGTTTTAGTAATTATTTAGCTCTGCTCAGTGCATTTTTGTGTATGTAATGTAGTGTCTAAAGTCATTTTTTATATGTGAAGATTCATTTGTTCTAAATTCCTTGCTCAGGGGTCTGTCCTTTGCTCCAGTGGGTAGCCTTGGTGCCTTTCTGAAAAATCGGTGACCATAATCATAAGAGTTACTTTATCACTCTCAATTCTGTTTTGAATTTTAAAACACCCAGTTTTTAACCTCAGTTATACTGTCTTAATCATTGTAACTTTGTTTTGAAATCAGGAAATGATTTTTTTATCTGTTCTTTTTCTTTCCTAATAATTTTGGGCTCTTATGATCCTTTGCCTTTCCATGGAAGCTTGAATCCATCAGCTTATAAATCTCTTCTGGAAGGTTTAGGATTTTTTAGGCTTCTAGAGAACCTGCAAATTAATATGGAGAGACTTACCATCCTAGCAGTTTTTGAGTCTTCTGACTCATATACATATGAGTGTCTCGCTGTTTTTTTAGATTTTTAATTTCTCTCATAAATACTTTGTAGGTTTTTTTTCTATTATGAATGAGATTGTTTCCTTTATTTTCAGTTTTCACAGTGCTGGAGTACAGACACGACTTTTCTGTCTTGAAACTCAGCCCCTCTTTGGGCGCCTGCTGTACTTGCCTCTCACAGCAGTTGAGGTCTGTGGTGTTTCCTGCCATCATGTCGCCCTGTTGTCCCCTCTGTATTTGCACGTTTGCTTTTGAACATCAGCGTTCTCAAAGTTTACACTAGTTGGGTTTTTGTTTTGTTTAATGCCCACCATCAAAACCTTTTTTATTTGTTTGTTTTGAGATGATGGCTCACTTTTTTGCCCAGGCTGGGCTTAAACTCATGAAGAGCTGAGATTTTTTTTTCTAGTATTTCTTTTGTTGATTTGTTGTTGTTGTTGTTGTTGTTGTTGTTGTTATATACATGCCTTTATTCATTCGTTTGTTTTGAGACAGCCTCACTGTGTAGCCCAGGCTAGCCTCAGGCTGCAGTCCTTTGGCCTCCTCCCAAGTGTTGACTGCAGGTGTGGGCCAGCATGTTCAGCCTCCTTCGACACCTCCTGTAATTTCAGGAGTAGAAACTTCAGTTCCATTTCTAAATGAGGAAACTGGCACAAAGAGACAACTCTGTGTCTTGAGAGACAAAGAATAAAGGCAGAATCTAACACTGGCTGGGAGCTTAGGATTCTAGGCTTGAAGCTGGCTTTTGTTTTTTGTGGTTTTCCCCTCCTGCATCAAAATTTTCATCATTCTGTCTACACAGTGCTCTGGCCTTTAATTTACATAATTTTCACTACTAAACATCCTTTGATTTGATTTGGGCCATACTCCTGTACCTTGAGAGCCTCTCTGGCACTCTGGGTGTTTATTATATAGAAATCTTGCTTTCTAACTCTCCAAGGCATTTATACAGAAAACATGAAGCAAGACTGGCCAAACCTAGAGAACAGGAGGTACTCAGTGGGGATTTGTACAGTGCACGTTGTCTGCCCAGGCCTTTCCAGGTGTTGAAATAACGCTAGGGTAAGTGTGGACTTAGTGGCCGTGGCTCTACCAGCATGTGCTGTCACTTCAGTCCCTGGAACTCCATCCAGTTCTCAACATGCTGTCCTTCTGTCCCCAGATAAGTATACTGGACATGCTGCCGCTCAGTGACTGTCTGCCAGGAAACGGCTAACCTGGCAGGCCAGTTTTTGTCTTCTTTCCCATGCTTGGACATTTGCTAGCCTTGACTTTCACCTGCCTGGAGATTATCAGATTGATGATCATCTCTAAACTTGACAGGTCAACGGTATTACACTCACCAGTTTACAATACTTACCCTTCTGAAAGTCAAAATGTTTCCTCCTACAGATGTCTTAGCATTGCTCCTTTTCCCCCAGGATTCTGGGCTAAGTTCCCAGAGGCCTTGGAGTATAGCTTTTAAAGTTCAAAGAAGTAGATACATGGCTTGAGCTGCACAGCACCTCTATCAAACCTGCTTTGAAAATGTCATTTAGCACTTATTAAAATTGAGGTGATCAAACCTCTCCCCTAGAGATTCTGCCCCCCTCCCGGAGCTCTCCCACCCCCAGACAGTTTATGATGAGCAGCCTTAAACACCCTTCGGCTTGAGAGGTATCACTGGGGCAGAGCGCCTGCTGTGCCATCCTGCCAACCAGTGCTCAGGTGCCCGCACCTGCCCACAAGCTGGCCATCCTTTGTATGCCCGTGTTCCCAGATCTGAGGGAAGGGAGAGACAGGGTTGCTGGGCCTTCCTAGCTTCCAATCTAGTTGTGAAAATGTGAGCCCAAGTCCAGGACTTGCCTCGAAGGAGTAGATTGAGCGTGGTGGAGGAGGTTGCTGTTGCCCTCTTCTGGCTTCCGTGTGTGTGTGTGTGTGTGTGTGTGTGTGTGTGTGTGCGTGCGCGCGCGCGCGCGCGCACTTAGATACAGACAGCTTTTTTTTCTTTTCTTTTTTTAAAGAAACAGTTTTATATATTTGTTCAGCTATATTTTGATTTTTTTTTCACCCACCAGTCAACTTTCATCCCTTAACTGGACCTGCAGTGCACTACTTGCTCTGGGTATATTTAAAGGAGGCTTTGGGACTTTCCTGTATTTTATACTTGACTCCTTGGGGATTTCTTGAGGTGCAGTGCAGCTCTTTGTGTGTCTCTGTCGTATAAAAAGCCTCTGAATCTGCTATGATTGAGGGGTCCTCTATGGACTTCATCACTTAAGTTAGCATCTCTTTTAGCTCCGGAATTATCTACAGGTGTGAGCTGAGAATTTCATTCTGGAGACATGTCAGGCAAGGGTTAGCTACCAGCTTCAATTTTCTCAAATCCCCGAGGAAGTCCCAGCTCTCTTTGGATTGAATAGCTTGGGCCTATCTTACAGCAGCATTCTCCATATCGTGGATACATGACCACATTATTCACAAGTTTCTTTCAGCTCTGTCTCAGCTGTTTGACTACAGAGGGTTGCAGAGGCTTGTAAGCTGGCTTGCCCTGTAGGTAACTGGTGGTCCTCTGGCTACCAGTCACTCTAACAGTCTTTTTTTGTTTTTCCAGGTGACAAATCATGTTTCTTCTGATTCCATTTCATCTGCTGATAGTTTCTTGAGCTTGGACTCCACCCTTTACACTGAGGAAAATGTGCACATGTTGAATAAGGGTGTACAAGCTGGTAAGTCCTTTGAATTTAAATTTGCATTGATATAAAAATGCTTCAACACACTTAACCTCACTCATGATAAAGGGTATAAAGATTAAAAGTACCTGCATATTTAGATGCTATTTTTTACTTATTAATTCTAAGTTTGTAAGCAAGAGTATAGGCATAGGTGCCTTTGTAGCAGAAGTCCAAATAATACAGCCTCTGTGAAAAGCAGTTTAGCAGTTCTTATCAAATTTGCTTTGACTCAGTGGGTTTTTGTTGTTGTTGGTTTGTCTATTTTTGCTTTGGGAATTTGGTCAATAGATGTACTCAAATATGTGCAAAATGTTAAGTGTAAAAAGTAGGGTTATTGTAGCAGAAAATTAAAATCAACTTTGATCGCCATCATAACAATGGTGAAATTAATTATTGTAGTTTCATATGAAGATGTTTTATATAGAACGAGGAAGCTCTCTAAGAACTGGAGAAATGGTTAAGAGCACTGGTTGCTGTTGCAGAGAGCCTGGGTTCAATTCCCAACACACACATATTTGAAAAGAAGAATCAAGGTACAGAACATGAACAGTTTACTACTGTGTGCATTGTGCAGAAACCAAGGGAAGGCAGTGGCGTGAGTGAGTAAAGTCCTCTGAGGTCCTGATGTGTAAGCAGAGTGACTGGGGAGCAGGACTAGGAGAAGTTGAAGCTTAGGCCTGCAGAGCGTTTGCTTTCCTACAGGTCAAAGGGCCTTGAGCTCAGCACTATCGCCCCCTTACTGGGTGATTGGCAGCTAGTCCAGAAGTACTGACTGTCTTGCTCCCTTGGAGTTGAAAGCCTGAACCAACTGAATCCGTATTTCTTCCTTCTCTCTGATAGCTAAACCCGCTTAGAAGTTAAACCTGTGTCTGTCTCTGCCCTTTTCCTCTCTTCCTCTCCTTCCCCTCACCCCCATGCATCATGTCTTTGAGTTAGGGGCTCACCCCCTGACTTTAAGCCTGCCAGCCACGATATATCTGTGTTTCCCTCCAGGTAACTTGGAGATCGTGACTGGTGCCAAAAAATACACTCGGGATGTTGGGGTGACTTTCCCAACTCCCAGTTCTAGTGAAGCCAGGATGGAAGAGGACAGTGATGTGACTTCTGGGTCAGAAGAAAAAGCCAAAGAGAAAAAGTTCCTCACCAATTATCTGCGGGACAGAAACTTAAGGAATCACAAGTCAAGTTCCTGTGAAGGTTGGTTGGTTTATATTTTGAAGGTCAGTTTCTAACCCAGGTAGCCGGGAGTCTCACAAAGGTATGTCGAAGTCTCTTGCAACCCTGGGATGCCTTGCTTCTGAGGACTCTGTTGACTCCACCTGCCACTAGCCACCACACTGGCATGCTTTGAAAGTAACTAGAACTTCATGTAGAGAGTCCTACTGTGTTTAAGACAACTCAAGGGCACCCTAAGGGTTGTCACCCCAACAGATGAGTCCTTTGCAAGTCAGGATTACATGCATGCCTTTGTAGTTGGCTACGATTATCAAAAAATACAACTTTTCAGTTTCTTCTTGAAAATATTTCCTGTAGGTGTCTCATGGTTTGTTCCTGTGGAAAATAGAAAGTCTGAATCTAAGAAAGAAAACCTGCCAAAGATTTACGGCCCTGGTATCTCCTGGTTTGAACCAGTAACCAAAACCAAACCCTGGAGGGAGCCACTGAGGGAACAAAACTGGCAGGTGCTGTGCATGAGCAATCGTGGGTCCCTGGGAGGCCCAGGCGGAGATGGTGGCCGTGTTCCGCTTAGGCCGTTTGTGAGAGCAACCCTGCAGGTGGGTCCCGGGACATCAGTGTGACTTTGGCCGTATGTTTTGTGGGACCATGTGTGACTGGCATGTGTGACTCAGGAGCTGATGACAGGGAGGAGGAGGGGGTTCTACCGTGGCACTGCTCGCTGTGTGCAGGCTTCCACATGTGCGGTAGCAGCCCGGTGTCTGGGCCAGGACTGCACTGTTCTATGGCCTTGCTGTGTTAACCGAGTGCTTCCCCTCCAGCTCTTCCCCTCGCTCAGCCTTACCAGATCCCTTGGTGACTAAAGGGATTGATATTTAGTGATGCATTTGTTTGAAGGGAATGAACTTCCCGCTGTCTCATCGACATTTGGAAGAGGTGCAGGTGACCCCACGGGAAAGAGTTCTCAGCTTTTCCAAAGGCGTTTCTGTGCTTCCTTTGATTTCCCTGGGGGTGCCCTCCCCTGCAGGCTCTGAAACCTGTGGGGCAGGTGCCGTTTTTGGGGGGGCACTTGAGAACAGGCCATGTCATTAACATGAGGCTTTTTCTCTCCTTTAGGAAGCTCTTCAGCTTCACAGACCTGACTTCATCTCCCGTTCTGGGGAGCGGATAAAACGCCTGAAGTTACTAGTCCAGGAAAGGAAGCTACAGAGCTTGTTCCAGAGTGAGCGGGAGGCTCTGTTCAATGCTGTGCGGCCCCTGCCTAGGAGAGGTACATACACCTCAGGTCACTTGTCCTGCCCAGGAGAGGCACACCTCAGGTCACTTGTCCTGCCCAGGAGAGGCACACCTCAGGTCACTTGTCCTGCCCAGGAGAGGCACACCTCAGGTCACTTGTCCTGCCCAGGAGAGGCACACCTCAGGTCACTTGTCCTGCCTAAGAGAGCTATACCCTCTTGTCATTTTGTGGAGTGGCAGTGGCTGTGCTGAGGAGCCGCTGGATGCCAGGCCCCAGTGAGGATGCTGAGACTCCACTCTTGTTGGCTAATAGACTGGCCCAACCGAGCCTCCCACTCAGCTGTGACCCCAGGAACCGGGTTTGCTGGCCTTGTCACTGCATCTCTGTCTCTTCAAACAGAGAGGCTGCGTGAGGATGACTGTTCTGTGACCCAGCCTTGCGCTTCTGGTTCAGAGTGTAATAGGAAAATAGTAGTGATAAGCAGGTCTGCTTAGAACTGTTCTCCCAGCACCTGTCTAAGAACAGCACTGTAGTAATACTCTTCCTTCACAGGGAGAGTAAGTGGCTTACCCAAGGTTACACCCCTCTTAGGGAAGGAGCTGGGGTGTGCACCAAGATCTGTGTTCTTAGCAGTGACACCAAGGGGCAAGTCTCAATAAAACAACACAAGAAAGCTGTGCAAATAGAAAATACCACCTAAAGCTGTCAGCCTTACCTGTCAGCTAGTCAGTAGCTGGGTTCACGCTGTGGCTGGCCGCAGTGGGTGTCGACTTTGGTCCCAGTACCCTAATGCAGTTCAGGCTTTGGCCTTGCCCGTGGTCTCTTACTCACTGCCCTGTACCGCTAGCTCAGGTTAGGGCCCAGCAGCTCCTCTGCACAGCTCTACAGGCCACACCTCCCCTTATGGTCACTGTCTACTACTAAACCTCTTCTCTTGTCTAGGCCCCCTGGCTACCCAAAAGAACAAACCTATTGGAAAGAAAGAAATGATCCAGAGGACCAAACGGTAAGTCCGAAAGAATGAGAGTAAGTATGCAACTATAAGCCAGCCCTGGTGGTCCCTCTGCTGCCCAGGCCCAGGCTAAAGGTGCATGCTCAGTAGGAAGCATGTGAGAAGGTGCTTCCCAGAGCACAAGAAAGGAAGAGAAAAATCGAAGACAGTGCTCGAGTGCTTCCTGTTCAAAGAGGGAAGGAGAATGCCTGGGATGAGCTTGTCTTTATTAGAAATCTGCATGAAACTAAAAAGCATTTGGAAATAAAAACAAATATTTATTTTTGGTCACCTTTATCTTAGCAATCTCATCTCTAGGAGTTTTTCCAACAGAGTAAGAAATAATGGGCTTGCTCTCCAAGACATTAAGTTAAGCTTAAGAAGCTGAGTTTCAGAAGCGTGCTCAGTTTCAGTTCATTGCTGCACTGTGAAATGAAATGCCTTTGCTTTATAGCTGGGTAGACCTGTGCATGCATAAAGTATTTCTGTAATTGCAAAAGAATTGCTAATAGTGGTTACCTTTGGGAAACGAGAACAGAGTGGATGGGTGTAGGAATCTGAGAGACCAGGTTTTTGATGTTTTTAAGATTTATTTTTATTGTGTGTATGAGTGTTTTGCCCATTTGTATGTAAGTGTGCATATCCACATGCATGTGGTGACCCCAGAGGCCAAAAGAAGGTGTTGGATTTCCTTGAATTGGAGTTACAGACAGTTGTGAGCTGCCACATCGGCGCTAGGAATTGAACCTGGGTCCTCTCCAAGAGCAGCCAGTGTTCTTATCCATTGAGACTGAGCCATTTCTTCAGACCAGGTTTTCAGAGACTTTTTGAATCTTGTGCCGTGGCAGGCGTTGTCTCCGCATTAGTTAATCAGTTTGATGCACACACACATTGATCCTGAGAATGCCATTGAAAATCTAAGTCATGGGGGACATTCCTAGGGGCTCTTTAGAATCTGATTTTAGTAAGAACAGGTAGTTGCGTGGTGCTTCTGATGTGATGGGTTGTTGTTGTTGTTTATCGATGTTGGTTTGTTTGAGACAAATGTATATGCTCATGGCTGGCCTGGAACTTGCTCTGTAGACCGGGCTGGCTTGGAACTCACGGATCCTCCCGTCTCGGCCCCCACTCTTGGCACTGCTTCCCTTTCAGTGACTTTTGCTTTTTGAATTGAATACTCTGTGGACACTATTTCTAAAAGTAGAAAGAAGAAAGTCAAAGTGTTACTCAGAATTCTTCCCTCCATCCTACACACACTCATCTTGTTTTCAAGCTCCCCTCAGCCTGAGGTTAGGGGCACCCAACCCTATCTAGGGTGCAGTGTAATTTGTCACCTGACTGTCAGACCTGTAGCCGCCTCAGCCTCTCCGCACCTGCTTACACCTGTCTCCCTGTACCACAGCTCCGTTTCTCCCAGCGCACATTCCCAGCGTGGATACCCTTTCTCCTGTCTCTGTCCTGACCCTGACAGTTCATTTCCAATGCAAGCCTGTAGCAGGGTCCTGGTCTGTTGTTCCCTTTGGGGGCAGGGGCCAAGTAGGCACAGAGTCAAACCACACTGACAGGGAGAATGTGGAAACAACAAGCTCAGTTTATTCAGGAAGAGGCAAGCCTTATATACCCTCCACCCCACCCTGGGGGGAGGTCTGATGAATATGCATCTGCTGGTGTGACTTAGCTGCCCCTCATTGGTCCGGGTCATCTCCAGATCATGTTTCAGCTGCTGTTGCTAAGGCCCTTAGGCTGACCAGGTTGGCTCTCAGAAAGTATCTTTTTTACTTGTTTGGGCCTTCTGGCCCTCAAGCCTATTAGGGATGAGTCATCCCACACAAGCCTAAACTCCTCTGAAGCCTGCTTGGCCCTTTCTACAGAATAAGTGTCTCTTCTCTATTAACTCAGATATTTTACAGGTGCAGCTAGTCTAGTACTTTCCTTTATTTTCCTGTGTTTGAAATGCAATAGTAACTGGAACTGCTAGAGGCAAAACACATCAAGATAACAGTGATATGTAAAGGTTTTCTGAGAAGCACAGAAAATAATCCACAGAATTAAAAATGGAATTTCATGAAATTAAAGTTCCTTCCAGCAAAGAAAGAAACATCAGCAGAGTGAAGTGATGGTCTACAGAATGGAAGAAAATCTTTGCCAGCTGTGTATGTGTCTTAGTTCTTTTCTCGTTGCTGTGATAAAATAGCCCAACAAAAGCAACTTTGGAACCAAGGGTTTATTTTGGCCTACAGTCCATGGTGGTAGCGGCCAACAGGGGAGGCTGCTGACCCGTCACATTGCACTTCCCCTTAGGAAGTAGAGAGTGCACAGTAAGTGGGTCCGTGATCCACTTCTTCCAGTGGAGTTCCACAACCTTCCCAAACAGTGCCACCAGCTGGGGACCCAGTGTTCAAACGTGTGAGACGGGGACATTTCACAGCACCATCCAACAGAGGATTATAGATTCTAAAATTTATAGTGATTAAATATATTAAAAGAATCATCCAGCCATTAAATAGGCTAATGAACTAAATAGACAATTCACAAAAGAAAAATCAATTGGCCAATAAATACTTGAAAATGTATTCAACATCTTTAGCCATCAGGGAAATGCAAATCGAAACTCTGAGGTTTCCTCTCCAGTCAGAGTGGCTAGCATCAAGGAAACAAATGAGGACAAATGCTGTGGAGGGAGGAGGTGGGGAAGGACGTGTGTTGTGGGAGGGAATGGAAACTGTTCCATCCACCGTAGACTCTGTAGAAAGTTTCTCAAAACACGGAAATTAAACTATCCTATGACCCAGCTCTACCACCTCTGGGTGTACACCTGAAGGGCTTTGTGTCAGCATATCACAGAGATGCTTGCACATCCTTGCTCATTGCAGTGGTGTTCACAGTGGCCCGCAAATGGAATCAGCTCCAGTATTCCTCAGCAGATGAATGGGTAAAGGAAATGCGGTACCTATATACAGTGAGTTTATTCAGCTGTAAAGACTGATAGTATATTTCCAGGAAAATGGGTAGAACTGGAAATCATTGTGTTAAGCAAACTAGGCTAGACTCAGACAAATGCCATATTTTCTTCATATGTGGAACAGAAAGTAGAAAAGCAGACTCAAGGGATGATGGGGAGACGGGAAGAGGCTAAGGAGCGTGTGCATCATGAAAGCAGAAAGGGCACTATTTGGGAAAGAAGGGGACTGGCAAGAGGTGTAGAGAGGACTAGGAGGGCAAAGAAGAAAAACGATTTTATACACGTGGCATCTCATAGTAAAATCCATTTCTTTGTATGCTAACCAAAATATTAATTTTAAAAATACAATAGTAATCTGGATATGGTGTTGCATAGCTGTATAATCCCAGCATTAGTAAGCTAAGGCTAGGTTGAGTTCCAGACCAGACTGGGGTACCTCAGTTGATCCTGTCTGTGTACATACGTGTATGTACTCAGTAATAGCTTTTTGTTATATTGAAACTATAGGTTTGCAGATAGCGTGGAAAACATAATTTTACCTACTCCCTTTTCTGGAAATAAGCACTATTATCAGTGTTTTATATTTTCATAATCTCTCTTCCAGATTGTGGGCACCCCAGGCCATGCTCTCCATATCTATGGACATGGACATGGATGCTTATCAGGGGTGGCTCTGTCTAGAGGCTGGATGCCTGGGCAGCATAGAGCCAGAGGTGTCGGGAGAGCCGCTGTGTACCTTCATGCCAGATAACTGTACTGCTTTCTGTCTTTCCACGTATGCCATTTCTAAGGATCTATGAGCAGCTTCCAGAAGTGAAGAAGAAGAGAGAAGAGGAGAAGAGGAAATCAGAATATAAATCCTACCGGCTGCGAGCTCAGCACTATAAAACGGTTAGCTCTGCTGACACCCTGTCCATGGAGGGATGGCTCAGGCTTATCAGCACAGGGAAGTGGAAGGAGCCTGACTGACACTTTGGAGAAGTACAGGGACTGTTTAAGTGCTGAGATTTCAAACGTTAGGCAGCTGTGATTCGGCACTGTCCATGTGTCTGCAGCTAACCCAGACTTCACACAGGCCATTTAGCCCCTGACTGAGCTGTAGTTCCTAAATGGTGACTTGAAACCCATTTTGCAAGTCCAGAACCATGTAAATAACCTGGACAGTGTCTATGCATCGTCAGCAGGGAGTGAGAGGCTGGAGAGTGGAGCCCGCCAGGGCCTCCCAGAGCAGCGGCCCAGTTAATTCCAGACGCCACTGGCTTGAAGGGCCACGTCCTTCCCAGTTCTTGTGTTCCTCCCAGGCTGCTCGCTGCTCTTTAGAGGACTCTGAAAAGCAGCCACTAAGGACCAGAGCAGACTAGTGTAAGGCTTGAGAACTGTGTCTGGAGCACCCAGGAGCCTGGGCATTGGGGAGACAGACCTCAGGAGCTGCATGCCTGCCTGCGTGCTGTGTTAGCATCGCATAGCCCTGCTGTGCTGCTGGCTGCTGTCAGCCGATGGGTTGCTCAGTCCCTCTCCATTCTAGTATCTCTTCCTGTGGAGAAGGTGCAGATTATTGACCACCTTTCCAGAACACTTGAAGAAACACATTTGTCCTGATTGCCACTGGGTGTGGGTGAGTGACACACACAAGCTGTAGGAGAGTCTCATCGGCAGTGTGCCGAGACAGTGGTGACCAGCCACCTGGTGACTGCGTCTGACACTTCTTCCCTGTGTTTTTTCCACAGAGAGTGACCAACCAACTCCTGGGGAGAAAAGTGCCTTGGGACTGACGTAGATGACTTTCCTCAGAGCCTAGGAATCCTTTTTTATAAGCCTAAAGAAGCCTAATTTATACTTTAATGAATGATTTAATAAAGCTTTCTCTTTGTCCATGTGTAACTTAGTACTCTGGGGTGTGGGCGGTGGTGGCCAGAGTGGCTGTGGTTTGGAATCAGTCCCCCCTTTCTGCATCCAGGCCATGCCGTATGGTGGAGCTCTGGGTTCTAGCCAAGAGGGAGTCCCTTTTGTATCTGTTTTTATACTTTTAGAAAATAAATCACTGCTGATTGACTCCTAGTGAACAAGCAGCAAAAGGTCATTTTTTTTCTCCATCTGGAGAGGAGCAGGGAGCTGGGCAGTGTCTGCCCTGCTGTGTGGAGGGACATGAGCTCAGAGAATGAAATGTGGCTTCTTTTTGAACCATAGCACAGTGTGTAAGGTCCACTTTTGCTCAGCATCGGCTTGTCTGGAATGTACATCACCCGAGTCTCCCAGAAAGGTTCGTCTGTGGAACTGAAGCCTCAGACCAGCCATCTTCTCACATGCAACAGTATTTATAACACAGGACAACTTCTGGAATAGAAGTGATGATAAATGATTCCCACAATGCTCTTAATCCAGTGCCTGGGCAGGATACAGAAAGCTTTCTTCCCTTCTGACCGGGAAACACAGCTAAAACCTGAAGCTAGGGAAGAAATGTGCTGGACATTCAGCAGACACTCCTGTGTGTGTGTGTGTGTGTGTGTGTGTGTGTGTGTGTGTGTGTGTGTGTGTGGTCTTTTCTCTCCCATAATGGTTGACTCCAGGAGACCTGCAGTGGGAGGGGCAGCCAGACCAGTAGCCACCTCAAATGACGCCCTGAGATGGCATGAAGGCAGGTCCTGCCCCAGTGTCCTGTGAGCAGTCACGTCACGTAGCCGACTTGTGCTTGTACCCAAAAAGATAGAAGATGCAGGGAAGGGTGCTCAGCCACCCGCCAAATGAGAACATCAGTAGCTTTTAAACCCTTTTCCACTCCAAAATGCTGTGGCTTCGTGGCTTGTGGGTTCCCATTCAGAACAGAACTAGAAAGCAATGGTTGTCCCAAACTCGAGTTTGCAAGGCGACTTAGGCAGGATAGAAATAATGAATGATTCCTTGGGCCCAGCTCTGGGTGGTTCGGATGCTCTCCAAGAGCATTCAGATCTGGCACCTGGACTAGGTAACCAATCTCCGAGCTGAGGTCGCCTTGCCTCTGAGTGCAGAGGTCTTTTGTAGCCTCCACCTTGCGGGCAGTACTTCCTGCAGTCCCCTCTGCTCCCAGAGCCCGGATGGCTTCCCGACTGTGCACAGCTCCATCTGTGCTGTGTACAAAAGCAGGAGGCCCCACCTCAGGCTTCGTTCCTAGGGTGATCAGCCTGCCCTGCTCTCTCTGCCCCCAAACACTTGCCCTGACTGTACTCTGTGGGGCTTATCAAGACCCATACCTCTCACTTGGCTGAAGCCCAGGCCGGGGCTGCACACCGCTGCTGCCCCTAACTTACTGTGATTGGCTCTAGAACTGCTTGCCTCCTGCTGTTCCTCTGCAGCCTGGCCCTGCAGTGATCACCCTGGCCTACAGTTTGGGGTGAGGGTATGGCAAAGAGGACAGCATTTTAATGTGAAACCGGGGTGGTAAAGTGGAAGTAGCCCAGGCTGGCCTCAAAGTCAACAGCCGGGCCCCCAGCCTCCCAAATGCTGGGATTTCAGGTATGTCCAACCATGTCTGACTTCATGAAGTATATTTGTGTCTCAAATGATTGTTCAGTCCAGCTATGAAATTAGACCAGTCTGAATCATAATGTGGCCTGCATCTTTGCTGGGAGCGAGGTGGTTTCAGCCTACATAGTTGTTGCTTCTAGCCATCTCCCAGGTGATCCAAGACACTTGGCAGGCTGGGCTGGGCAGGGAGCTCACCGGGGAAAGAGCTTTACAAACTAGTATTGCCCAATAGAGGGCCCTCTGCAGCCTCAGCCCCTTCTTAGCCCCACAAGAGGCCCTCCCCCATCTTAGGAAACCATCCCCACCACTCCCCAGAGAAGCCATTCTCCAAATCTGACCCAGCCATGTTTTGATGTTTGGCTGTTTGTTGTGTGTGGTGGTGGTTTGGGGTTGTTGTTGTTGTTGTTGTTGTTGTTGTTAGGGGGCTACATTTCTAAGGAACGTGAACACAGATGTACACTCAATTCTCTCAGTCTGAGCAACACTAGCCCTGAGTTCCTTCCCTAACTTGCAGAAAGCTTTCTCCCCAGGCTCTAGGGTGAAATCTGCATATGGGTGCCTGTTCTCTCTGTCCTCGGCCATTTCCTCCAGTGCAATGCTTAGACTGGACTTGGTCAGCCTAGGTTCCTAGATTTCTCTTCTGCAGAGGACCTGCGGCCAAGTTCCGAAGTGGGCATGGTCAGATGTACATACCCCTCCAGTTCCTGGCCCACTCTATCACAATATTCACCCTCACCTCACCTTTGCTCCCCAAATCCAGAACCAACGTAAGATAGATTGAGCCAGACTGAACAAAGCCTCCACTTGATTTCATGTTGTTAGAGCTGAGAAATGGTGGAAGGAGCTTTAGAGCATGTGTGCTGTCTTCCAGAACATAGAGACTGGGCACCTTGGCCAGACTACAAACAGGACAGCCCTATCACCCCGTGACACACACCTCACAGGAAGGCATCAAGCAGTCTTAGAACAGAGCTGGAAATAGAAAACTTGTTGCTACAGAAGTGGTTGGGATGGTATTGCTTTTTGTTTTGTTTCTTCCTGAATCGTCCACTAGAGACTCGAGAAAGGCAATCATCATCGTGTCTTGTTATTTGGTCTTGCACACATGTAGCTCCTGGTTGGCTCAGTAAGAACCTGCAAAGTGCTTCACACAGTGATCAGTCTAGATTAGAAGCCAGAGACTTTGGAAAGGGTGGTAGTGGTGGAGGGTGATGTTGAAGGAGGTTCAGGACAGTTGGAAATTGAATAAATAATAAATATACAACAAAAACAAAAACCTAGGGCAAGAATAAGAAACTGGTTTTACTATGTAGCTCAGCTTAAACTAAACACAGAATACTGATGAGAATCATCCTTGTAAACTGTGGAATCTAGGAGACACATCTTGAGCATGTCTTCAGAGACATTTCCAGAGAAGTTTTAAGTAAGGAGAGAAATCCCTCCCTGAATGTGGATGACGCCATCCCATGGGCTGGAGTTCTAGCAGAATAAAAAGCTGAGTACCATGAGTCATCTTTATCTGCTTCCTGACTGTGGACCTGTATAACCAGCCACCCCAGGCTTCTGCCATCACAGCTAAACCCACACTTAGCACCTTGCCTTCCTCCACATGGTAGACTGTCCCCTCGAACTCTGAGAGCAAACAAACCCTGATGTTGTTGCTTGTGAGCTATTTTTGATCACAGAACTAAGAGTAACTAATGCATACCCCAAATAGCACTCCTGTACAGGGGGCTGGGAGGAGGACCTGTGCACATGCATGTAGACACTTACCACTTGTTCTCAGCCTTGCCGAAGAGCACACAGCGCACAAGCCATGACTGAACAGAGGAGAAGGAGCCACAGAAACCCTTTACAGGAGCACAGGGGATGTTCTGCACATCAAACCACAGACTACTCTCCTTGAATAGGTAAATGGTTTAAGGAACAAATACTAGCCCTAAAGAAACGGGTTGATAAATATGATAGATAAAATGGGAGAGAAAAGAACACACACACACACACACACACACACACACACACACACACGGGGCGCAGAGATAATTGCAGCACAGGTAGCCAACAAAAGATTCACATGCAGAACATGTAAAGAGCTCATAGGAGTCAACTTTCAAAACTGGCAATGTAGGAAAATGAACTAAATAAAAACAGGCACAGGCAATTTCACAGAAGAACAAACATCTGAACCTTAAATATGGAAATTGCCCTGCTTTGGGCAAATGCATACTATAAGCAGAATAAAAGGACCTTTTTTTGCTCAGTGGATTGGCAAAGATAATTTAAGTCGGACCAGGAAGGGGGCCAAGTGGAATTCAAGAGCAGCTTGAACAGGTTTGCATTCACTGAACAATTGAGTCCTAAGGATGCACTCTGGGACAGTGCACCCCACTGCCCACCCAGGAAGGTTAAAGGCAACATCTTCCCAACAGTGCAAGGAACAGGAGACCCCGAGAGCTGTCCTGCCAAGACCAGTAAATGATCCAAAGATTCAGAAGCTAAATAAAATTTTATTATTTAGTGTTTCATGTTATACATTACTATAGAGTCAGATAAAAGACACCTCGGAAAGCGTGTATGGGAAAGAGTGGCCATTGCCCCAACCTCCCCCCAAACACATGACTCAGCTGTGCTTGAATGTGAGGGTTAGTGGTTTGCTCCTGAAGTAGCTGGGTTTGTTACTACTACAGAAGCAACCAGATCCTGACTGATGCACACACCGGAGGTGATAGATCACAGGCCCCCTTCCTGAGCAGAAGTGAGACAGTATTTTAATTTTATCATCGGAGATTTCCTTAGTCTGGAGATAATGGTGAAGTAGGACTCGCCAGTCTTCTGGAAGCCCATATCCTGGTAGAGAGCCAGGGCTGCATACTGGAACACACTGGTGGAAAGGACAACTTCAGGGAAGGCCCGGGCCTGTGCAAACTGGAGGACCCTCCTCACCATAGCTTTCCCTATCCCCTGTCTTCGGTGCTCCAATGACACAGAGAGGTGACGTAGCCATAGTTGCTTCTTCTGCAGGAAGGGATCCTCCACCGGTAGGGCAGCCACCATGCCCACTATCTGACCCCTAGATTCAGCCACCCAGAAGCACGAGTCATGAGAACTCAAGTAGGTTGTGGTGATGTCAGCCATGTCTGTGTGCAAACACGTTACTAAATACTTCACCCAAGTATGTTTTGCAAGGAGCCACAGGGAAGTAAAGAGAATAAGGCTGGCGAGAAGAACCACAATCCAGGAGCCTGAGACCAAGAGTAGGGTAAGAGGGACCCCAAGTAAGAGCAAGAGGATTCGGGGCAGCATCAGCATGTAGCGGAAGGTGGTGGGGATGTGCTCCTTCATGCCTCTGGAGAACAAATCCACCACGCTCTTGTGGTCGCTATCCTGGTATTTGCGGATATGATAAGGAGGCATGGGAGACTTCTGGGTCTCAAATCTCAAAGGCCAAAAGGCACAGTTGGCTCTGCCTGTATGCTTCTCTGTAATCCTGCAGAAGAGAGAAGAAACCATGTAAGTCCCTAACCAAGTTCCCAGCTTGCCAGTAACCATGGAGACCCTGCTTTAGGGTGTGTGTGTGTGTGTGTGTGTGTGTGTGTGTGTGTGTGTGTGTGTGTGTGTGTGTGTGTGTGTGTGTCTTCTGGGCCGAAAGGATATATCATAGAGATTCAGCTGTGTATTAAAGCTGAACTTTGACCGGCCAAGGGTCTGTCAAAAGGCAAAACCATGTATTATGAATATTTGGTGTTACCCAGCCTTTAATATTCCAGCTGTCTTCTGCTATGAAATCCTTGCCTGCCCAGACCAATTGGTAAACAGTTCAGCTCCCCAGACCTGCTGAACCTACTAAGTTACTAACTGCCCTGCTGAGCTTAGGAGACCTGCTGGGGGGAGACGCCTAGCTTTGTTTCCTGTGCTAATGAAGCTCAGACCATCCCCTCCCCTTGAGGAGGCCTAGTGGTTCTCCAGAGCACTTGGACTGCGAACAAAAGAGGTTTTTAGATATCAAGGTGAGAGATAAAACAACATTCCTGAGGAGGCAGGGAACCACGTGCCCAGGGAAAGAAAAGGCAGGCAGGGAGAAGAGAAAAAAGAATGGAAGAACTAGATGGGTAAGAACTTGAGAGGAACAAACTGAGATGGGGAAGAACTAGATTGAAGGACTAGAAGAGTACTAAAGGAATGAGATGGAAGATGAGGAAGAGCCAGATGGGGAAGAACAAGTTGAGGAAGAACAAGGTGAGAGAGAATGATGTGTGAGGAAGAACAAGATGTGTGTGTGTGTGTGTGTGTGTGTGTGTGTGTGTGTGTGTGTGTGTGTGTGTGTGCATGCTGTCACCTAAGAGGAAATCATCACAGGGAGAAAGCATAAGGCCAGACACACTAGTTAGAATGTTAATTTCTCTCTCTGTCTAGATGTGTGACATTGGGCATGTCACTTAATTTCTCTGGACCTGTTTCTTCATTTGCAGAACAGGATAAAAAAACATTTGCCTGTGAGGACTTGATAGAGTGGCTAACAAGAAGCACTGGTGGGTCCCTTCTCTACCCTCCTGGCCCCATTACTGGAGCTTGGGAGCTTTGAGATGGTACCCTGTGGCAACCCCTCTTCACCCCCAAGCCCTTTGATCTCTATCTCTCTTAAGTCTGTACATTGCAAATCTGGGATTCCCAAGAACAAGTTTCAACAAAGCCACTGCCTCTTAACTCTGAACATTTAGACATTTGAGAAAACCTGACCTGGAGGTCCCAAGAAGGTCCTGTTACTCAAGACAAATGCAGAGTCTCCAACCTTGCCCTGAAGTCCTCCTCACCTAGTTGCTTGGAGCTGAGGGTCTAGATCAACCTCAGTGCTGTGCTTGTGACAGATATTCAAGCTTTTCTGTGACCTACCCTATTGGGGTAACAGACTGGGTAGAAACCTCATTGGCTGGAAGCTGGGTGTTTGATAATCATAAACCACAGGGTCAAGGAGCTGGGCTGTGAAGAGGGACATTCAGGTCAAGTCAACTTCTTGATCCCCACAGAATAAAACTGGAAAGGATTCAGGATCTGAGATGGCTCAGGGGTCATTATTCTCATGGCAGAAAGCCTGCTTCTCATCGCCTAGTCCCCTCCTGGGTGCAGCAACTCTCTCCCAGCACGCTCATCCCTTTCTGAGGCCCACTCTGGTTCCTGGTTCCTGCTCCCTTCTATATTGAGCCCAGGGATTCTGATTCTCCTATTCCTAAACTCATTTGTCATAAACAAGAGCACACACCCACTGGCTCCAGAACAAGACTCTTCATTGCTGGGCTCCCCCTGCCCAGGATGCACCTGTCCCATATTAAATGGCTCCTGGTGGTCTTCACGGATTTCCCCACCTCTTCCTCAGCCATTGTGTGGACACACCCGCCATACTGAATGAGTCTGCTCAGGCCGCAGCCATCTAGAGAGACATACTTCTGTGTAAAAATGTCCCGTTGAAGAGATGTCCCATCTATGCCCCGGCTCATGGATTCCTACACAGGGTGAAGCCAGCATTTGTCAATAGCATTTAGCTATGGGAAGGTCTAAACTAGGAGACCCCTTTCTCCCTTTCATGGTGTTAGAAGAACAGACAGAAGCTGATTCTCCAAATATAAGTCAAATTCAGTGGGGATGCATAGAGCATTGGAATGGTGTGTGTGTGTGTTACAGCACACAGTGTCCCCTTTCCAATGGCTGGTGGAAATAAAGGAGGGTTACATAACATTTTTACATAACCTTTCCTGGCAACAAAGATGGAAATTGAGAGAGATCAAGGATCAGCATCCAGAACAGTGCCACTCCCACAGTGAACTGGGCACAGCAGTACAAGATTATGGTGATCTTTGGGCAAGATGTGTTGGGTCTCTGGTGAGTATTACTATTGGCTTTGGGGTACACATCTCTCCTGTGCACCAACCAGCTTCTTTGGGGACTCATGCATCTGGTGAGGAATTGACTGCAGTGAGTCTTGGGTTGATTGAGACAACTCGCACAATGTTCCTGGAATTTATTGACACACCTGTGTCTTTGTGCACAGGTCGGTGGAGGAGAGAACATTCACAGTGATGTGGGATGAGGATGGGCTTTAGTGCCTGTCCTGCTTCAGTCCTTTCAGGTTGGCCCTTGGTCTCAGTTTCTAGAGTGGAAGCCTCCAGATAAACTCCATCCAGCATTGGGATAGAATCCATCTGGAAGAAGCTGGCTGGACAGGTCCCTGCCTTCTGGGAGCTGATAAATTCTTTCTGGCGTGATTTCTAATGATCTAGAGTTGAAGTCAGGTGTGCATTGGGGAGAACAGAGGCCCTAAACAACCACCCTTGGGGAGTTTGGAGTATCCAAGCATAGCAGAGAGAGTGCAAGGTCCTGCTTTCTTACTGCTGGGAGCAGCACCCCCTGCCACACCCCCCCACTGAGTGGGGAAGTTCACAGTTCATAGTTGCAGGTTGTGAAGGACCCACATAACTCTAGCCAGATTCCACATGTCTAGTGAAGTTGCTGGTTTGTCTGTGCCAAATTTCTGGGTTCATTTGCTTTGTTGAATCTTCCAGGGCTATGAGACTAAAAGGCTGAACTTATTTGATTTGTTTGCTGGTTCTGATTCAAAAATTCATTCTTTTTCCACCTTGAAATTGTGGGACCAGTAAGAAGGCTGAGTGTTGATTGGGAATCAAAGGTGACTTTCATTCTTGGCCAAGAGCAGAACTGGGAGATAAATTCCCAAATCTACTTCTCCACCTTTTGGGAAGCTGCAGTTGAGAGTATAAAATAAAATTGAAGGGGAGGGATAGATTAGGGAAGAGATGGAAATCCATCTTTTCTCTGGGAATGGGTAGAAACTTTCTCAGAATTCACACACCATATCTGCCCCCCTCTTTGTATGGTGTTTTTCTTTTCTTTCCTCATTATGGCAATGCCAAGTGTCTTGGGGTGGGTGGGGTGCCATCAGAATGTAGTTGCTTTACAATTCAGTTATATATGTCTGCTAGACACTCTGACAGAGTTAGACCCAACTGGAACCTGAGTTCATGACATCTGTATAATGTGACAGTAGCTAAAGCTATCTCAGAATTTCATTTTCTTCCTTCCTTCCTTCCTTCCTTCCTTCCTTCCTTCCTTCCTTCCTTCCTTCCTTTCTTTCTTTCGTTTGTTTTTTGAGACAGGGTTTCTCTGTGTAGCTTTGCACCTTTCCTAGATCTCGCTCTGTAGACCAAGCTGGCCTCGAACTCATAAAGATCCACCTGCCTTTGTCTCCCGAGTGCTGGGATTAAAGGTGTGTGCCACCACTGCCCGGCCAGAATTTCATTTTCTCAGTTTGGATTTTTCTGGAAAAGAACATGTAGATTTAGATACTAGAAAAGCTCTTTTTTCCCCCAGTAGTGACAAGAGAAAACATCTCCCATAGTCTTACTTTGGGGCTTACAGTTTAGATCTTGAACGTTCCCAAGGTGCTCCTGTACTAAGCAGGTAACACTTAATTGGCGGATTTTCTAGAAGTCTCTTAGGAGGCTCAGTCATTAGGGGATTGTCTTAGTTAGAGCTTCTATGGCTGTGAAGAGACCCCATGACCATGGCAACTCTTACAAAGAAAACATATAATTGTGGTGGCTTATCTACAGTTTCAGAAGTTCAGTCCAATATCATCATGGTAGCAAATGGCGGCATGCAGGGAGACATGGTGCTGGAGAAGGAGCTGAGAGTTCTATATATGGATCCATATATAGGAAGGTAAACTGGGACATTGGGCATAGCTTGATCATAAGAGACCTCAAAGCCCACCCCCACACTAACACACTTCTTCCTACAAGGCCACACCTACTTCCAACAAAGCCACACCTCCTAGTAGTGCACTCTGTATGAGGTTATGGAGGTCAATTATATTCATGCTACCGTAGGGAAGACTAGAAGACTATACCAGATCCAGCCTGGATCTATGGTGAAAGAATGAAGGGCTGCGGGGCTGGAGAAAGAGCTCAGCTGGTAAGATGACCCAGATCCAATCCCTAGCCTCTACACGGTGGCTTAAAACTCAGGCTTTGAACATTGTTACCTTCCCTAACCTTCTTCCCATCAGACACTGGAAAGTGTTTCTGGGCAACATCTTGGGGCCTCCAAGGCAATCCAGGCTTCACCTTCACGGCTTGACACAATGGCCTCTCTAGACCTCCATTCAGGGACATCCCTGCCACATGCCTGACCTCAGCAACTTTTCTTTGTTGCAGAGGGAGATTCCATAACCCCTTTCTTCCAGAACCACATGGCCAAAGATGCCAAGTTCTGCTGCTTGCTGGAGCTAGAACATGACCCTCTTGTTCAATTACATCTTCACCAAATTTCTGTTTTCCATGGTCTCCTTTACTGCCTCAGCTTGGCTGTCCTGAAATTTGATCTGTAGACCAGGCTGGCCTTTTCAACTTAGTCCCAGACTAATTTACCCATGTGTTTTAACAAAAGCATGCAGTATACGAAGCAGTAGTG